TGCTGATAACCAAAACCTATTGTCCCATTCCATAGATTCTGCAACGCAGTTTTCCTCTTTCTAACTGAACGATAGACTATTTTACATACAGGATTATTTTTTTTTTTTTGCCTTGATTAGCAGTCCACCATGGAAACATCATTTATTATTAACATTTAAAGCAAGTCTTTATATTTTGGATAAGCTGGAGTAGTGGAATGTTCCTTAGGTCCCTGGATCCAAATTCCTGCTATAAGTTGAAACATTTTTGCCAAAACTGAAGCTTCTAGAAAGAAAGAAAGAAATATCTATGGCTCATGCAATCCAAATGAGTAGCCTGTCAAGCTAGCAGATTTTTTTTTTTTTTTAAAAAGATAAAAGGTGGAGGGAGGACAACACATTTAGACGTTTTGCTGAAGGGCATCAAGTCCTTGTTAACCCAGGGAGAAGTTAATCGCTGTTAAAGAAGGAGGAGAGGGATTCTGTCATCTGACTGGGGGCTGCTAATTGAGTAGTGCTGGCGTAAAGGATGAAGATAAGTAGTCATCTTCCAAGTGACTAGAGATAGAATTACTTACAATGTAATTCATTTCACTACGAGGTCCAGATTGCCTTCTGGAAGTATTTCAATCTCTTTACTGTCTCTCTGTTGTATGCATAGTACTGTAAAGATGGAATAACAGGGGCCACTTAAAATACGTAATGTGATCTGTGTATTTTTTTAATTATTTTAATTTTTCTGGCAGAGATGGATTCCAAGTTTTTTTGTGAATGTTTACTTCTGTTTGTCATAAGATCCAAACCGAGGGAATAGACTTAGAGATAAAAATCAGGCAGTTAAATTTTAATTCCAGCTAACATTAACAAAAATAATGCATTTTTCTTCAAATTCAGTTTATATATAGTTAAGAGTTTGAACAGAGGAAAGGATTAGCACTTCTAATTTTGCCTCAGTGTCCAAGCTTGTTTTCTTTGGCTGAAGGAGAAGAATTAGTTGTCACAGAGGCAATGAGTCTGGTGTGAACATGAATAGGAGTGGGTGTCGTTGGACTGGGTGTGGATGTCTGCACCGTAGGCTCCACTTCTGGCCCTTGGAGAGTAGTACCGTGCAGGAGTCTGGGAAATACATCTTCTCCTAAAGAGTATGTTGAAATTTGGCCACGTGAATTCTGCCTTAAACTCCCTCACCTACATCGAATAGACATGATTCTTGCTTATGAAGGACTACTAGGGCCACCAGCTCAGGTGTAGGTCCCAAGTTATGTAGGTGAGTTCTGCTGTGAATGCACTTACTTGCAGAATAGGGAAAATGTTACTTGCCTTTTAGGGAAAGTATGAACTAATATAATTAAAAACACTCTGAGGACTTTAGATGGACGATGTTAATGAATTGTGAAATGCATGCCAAAGTCCAACATACTGAGAATTGCATGTGCAAATATCCGAAACGTCTCTTCATGGTGTGCAATTCTGTCTGAGAGTGACTGCATGATTTGCTAATTTGATATGTCCTTTATGTAAGCCAAAATATTTTTGTCTGATTTATTTATTGATCTTTTTCCTGACTAAGGAAATTTGATTTATGTAGAAAAAATTACGTGAGATGTGGAGAAGGATAGATTCAGTGTGTTCTTGTGTGTATGTTTGGGGTCTGGAGACAGACACTGAGCAGAGCAGAATCCATCTGGTACAGGGGTAAAGCTTTTTAAATGTCTGTCTGATCGGATGGAAGCTGCTCAGTTTGGGCAAAAGCAAGTGGTATGTCGTTTCTAGTTGCTCTGATGCTAGAAACTAACCAGATTACGTGTTGTCGTTGCTGTTGAGGCTGTTTTGCGAAGCTCTGACTTGTTCTGATAAAATATCAAAACGAGGGGTGGACAGTCTTCTGCCGGCACAGAGCGGAACGGTGTGTGTGATGGTCTCCTGGCTGCTGGTTACTGTTACCTGAGAGGACTTCTGCCCTTCCTTCCTTCCTTTGCGTTCCCACCCCATTAAACTTTCTATTTTCCTCCTTGCAGAGGACTTTCAGGCCACTCTGTAGCTCTGATGTTGCAAGCTTCTCATAGCAGTTCCCCAGGAGGATGCAAACTCCAGACTATTAGATTTCTACAGGGCATGAGGGAGTGGTTGAGTCCGTGCCCATTAAACTGTTGCTTTCTGTGGTGGAATTTAATTGTGCAGCTGTATGTGAAATAAGTAGGGAGGGGCTGGTTGTTTGCTTTTTGCTTTGCACAGTCAACATCAAGGAACTAGTTCTTAAGTCCTGGTAACTCTTACTGTCACTCACTCTCTACTGACTAGAGAATTGGGGGTTTAAGTGGGAGAGAAGCGGAATGGGGGCAAAAGGACAGCTTTTTAAATATAGAATCATGGAATTCTATATATAGCTACTTTTAATATCATGTGACAATAACTTAACTAACGGTAGTAAATATAACATGAGTTCATCATATTTAGCATGTATTTGCTCTTCTTAGAAGTGTTTTGTAATCTACTTGATCAAATATGTTGCATGTGTATGTGCATTTATATTTTTCTAATTCTCTGTGTTATATAATGCAGACATGCAGTGAGAATCACAGAAATTAAGGCTGTAGAATTTGTCTCAGATTAGAATTTGAGTTCCTGTGTCTTTGTCAGTTCCATGTCCTAAACCATGCAGTTTAGTATCTTTAAAGAGTGAGCAAAAGTTGAAATTTGTTTTGTATTATAATGAGAAAAAGAAGCAATTATTAATAAAAAATTTCACTCAAGCTTCCTAATTTTATAGCTATCTTTGTAAGTAGGTACTCACTAGTTCTGAATGAGGCCACTCTTAATTGCAGTAATTTAATTATGGTCCTAAAGCCCTGATATAATGAAGTGCTCTTAAGTTTAAATGCTTTGCTAAATCAAGGTCTACATTTATTTCAGGTATTCACGACCACTTCTTTACTCCTCCTTCATTAACTGTCTTCTCAGCATTTAGCTATACTGTCCTAGAAGCAGTCAAGTTTTACTAAATTAGAAAAGGATTAAAAATAATTTGGTGGGGGTTTTGTTCATGAAATCCAAACATATATGTGTGTCTGATAGGAATATGAGATGAAAAATAAATCTAGCAATAACTTTCACTAACAGTTTGTATAAGTGCCTTGGATTTTTTAAATCATTCTTTTAAATGTACGAGGTGCAAATGTTTCACTGCTACGGCTTGAGTATATATTTCTTTACTTTCTTTGTGATGAATTTCTAAGGATTCTGCTTCAGAGCTTCAGAAACATCAGTTTAATCAACCTTTTCATCTGTTTTCCCTTTCGTCATTTATATTCTGAGCCAAAATAGATTGACAGGCTGTTCTAATTACCAGGTGTGCAGGTAATAGCATCGACCAGGCCGATGCCTGGGAAGACGAGGGCAGAGCTGGGAGCTGAGCGGCATTGGGAGGCAGCAGAGATCGAGATGCTCAAGCAGAAGGAAGGGAGAAGGCAATGGGGAGGTTGATGGGGGGTGGCTGGGAGAGCAGAGCAGGGGAAAGGAGAATCTGTCCTATAACCACTTTCTTACGTAAGAAAGAGAATGCAGGTTGAAAATAACGTGTTTTTTTTTCCTCTCAATGACTTCTGAAAGAAAGTATTTCTTTCTAGGAAACACCTGGATTGACTTTATGTATAAGGATATGTTTTAAAGACTTACTGAACTAAACTAACATTTATAGTAAAAAATTATTTTCCAAATTCTTTGAAACACATAATACTCCACCAGTCCTTTGGATGTGTGAAAATACCTTTAAACCGTATGTTTGATACAATAAATAGAACCAAAGACATGCAAAGCTACATGAAAATGCTTTCACATCATACTGGCTGGATGTGGTAAATATTTATACTGTTCCTCCCTCTAAAGTAAAATTGATGCCACCATATGTGTTTTCCCCCTTATTAGCAATAGTTAATTAACATGCCACAGTAAACCCGGTTCCTGGAGTTGCGTCAGACTGTAAGATCTGCATTCCCTGCAGAGAAAAAGGTGAAATGATTAAAGAAAAACAAACAAGCCCCAGAAAACCACCAAAGACCTGACTGAGCAGACAACTTGTGTTAAACATAAAAATTGTTGCCTGGGCTTGAAATAATTGATTACATAATTTTAAATTTGTGATAACCTCTTACAGAAGTGCACTGTGTGCCTGCACATGTATGAAAATGCAGAAGCTTGGAATTTTCCAATACAATTCTATTTGTATACTGCTTGTGGTCAGGCTTGACCCAAATCCACCCATTCACTTCACCTGTGATTTATCCCTGCTTGTATTAAAATTATCAGCTGACCATGCATGTTTGAAAAATGAGTTCACTGAACAAGTTTTAAAGGATTCTTCGTTTTATTCAAAGTACCATAAAACTCTCTGCATAAAACTTTCCTTGCAGAAAGCTTTCCAAAAAAGCAGGATTGTTTTCCTTTAATTGTATTTATACACTGATTTATTTACCACAAAAAGAGAGCTCTTATTTTTGTCGTTGCTTTTACATTGCCTGGGAATGCTAAATGTATCTTCTGTGGCTCAGTGTTGAAAGGAGATGGTGAGAGAAACGGAGAATGGTTTCCTATGGGCTTGTCATCAAGTTCTCTGAGAGAAGGCTACAACTCCCCTCGCTTTCAGACAGCTCTCCAGGCTGTCGTGTGGTTATTCAGCCACGGTGTTTCCTCAGCATCTGGATCTACCAGGGGAAATTTCCCTTGGGAAATTTAGCAGTGCTGCTCAGGAATAGCAAAACAAAACAAAAAAACTGTTATAGGATATCAGTTATAAGCACGACTGTAATGCAAAATATTAGAGTAATATTTTTTTTTGCAGAGATCTTAAACCAGTGACTTTGTTAGGGATGAGAAGTTCTGTAAGCTACAGGCTGACTTTAGCACTTTGCATAAGAACTGAATAGTCTGGAAGAGCAGACAGACCTCTTACTGCACATTTAATGTGTTGCATTTTTAAGCATTTTGTTTTGAGAGAATATCAAAAACTTCAGATATGAAAATGTTCTCTAAAAAGTTTCCCTTGAGTTTGTCAGAAATTATGAATGAGTAGAAAGTAACAAACTCAACCTCCTTTTAGCTATATTTTTCCTTTATGATGTTTTCTGTTTGATAATTTTAATCTTGTCAGTCTTCTTTGGCTTGTATATTATTCCTTCGTGATTTTATTAACAAAGAAGAGGTTATTTTTCTTTGGATTGAGTTTATTTTTTTTTAGAAGCTTCTGCTTTTCTTACAAAGGCTAGAGATGAAAAATGCCCACAATACAAGAAGACTCTGATAGACAATGAAGCAGATATTTTTGTAAAAAACCACAAACTTCCTTTAAACAATATGTTGCATATTGAGCTTGTTAACCTGTCTCTCTGTGCTGTTCTTTCCTAGATTAACATATGTAGGGGGTTTTTTTCCAGTTTTGCTTCTTAGTACATTAGTTCTTCATGATAGTGACATCTGAACTTGTTTTCTTTAGTCTCTGACCATTTGTAGTGCCCTAAAATGGACACTGAGGTCCACCTGGACATTTCACTCATGCTGAGCAGAGCAAAAGGATATTTGTAGTCTGTACCCACATTGTTCTTTGCCTTTTCTACAAAAAAAAAAAATATATATTCAGTAGTGATACCATCTTGAGTCATTCTTCCCTACTGTTTTATTTTTTATATCTGGCTTATTGATTGTTTTCTCTGTAGGTAGCATCTCATATTTGTATTTAGTGACTGTTATCCTGTTTTTTGCAGTTCATCAGGATAAATTTAGATAAATGTCATCTTCTATGACACACAGGGTTCTGGGTTTGCTTTTGTTGATTATTCACTTCGAAAATTTTTTTCCCTTGGATCAAGCCAATATGTTTCTACACTTTTAGACATGTAGTTGGATTTTGCCCACTGGATGTATGGTTTTGGTTTTCAGGTTATCAATTATTTGTGATTAGATCAGGCTGCTTATTAGATGTAGAAAATTACTTTGAGACAGGATATTGTTGAGTTGGCTTTTTTAAGTAGGAGCTGAGGCATCTGGAAGAGACAGGAAATTGAAATTTTCTTAGTTGATTTTTGTACAATGTGTTAGGGCTGTTGCATGAATACCTATAGTTGATGTTTGGTTCTAAGAGATGACATGATTACTTTTCATATCTTGTTGAGATAACATAGTTAGGACCATTTCTTCATCTTCTGTTACATAGCCTTTTATCATTGTATTGTGAGTACTTCTTGTTTTCGTGAAACACAGGACTGGTTTTTTGTTTGTTTATTTGATTTCTTTTGTAGTAGGTTATTATTTATATTATCTTCCCCTCAATGGTGGTATGGTGTGTTTTCACAACCGTGACAAAAATGTGTGTAAAAAGTTATCTAGGTTATGTGTGTTTTGCTTAGGAGGTTAATGCCACTGTTTACCTTGTCATCTTTTTGCATATTTTAATTTCAAATGCCATATTTTAGCATTTTGCAAGTTGTTTTTATGATGTTATAATCATTAGTAATGTTAATGTTAGCACATTATGTTAGCGACACAGGAGGGGTCTGAAGATCTAGACAGAGTTGGCTGCTGAAAAATGCAGGTTATTTGCAGACTTGGGAAATTTTTTAAATATAAAGAGATAAGTGACATACAAGAAGGTGGAGGGCTGTTATTCCCCAGTAAGGACACTGGATTATGTATTAACATAATTCAGTGATATCCTGATTGAAACAAATCTCCTTCTTCTATTTTGTTTGATGGCTTCATGCAGTTTTGGAAATATGAGTATCATTGCAATGCTTAGTCATTCAGGTCTATAAGTTTATTGCCAGCACATTTCTCTGCAACACAATTTTGAGGATGAAAAATTGTAACTTTTTTAATGAACTGAAGAATCCAATTTTGAAAGTTTCTAGATGACCCTGAGGATGTTGCCTTAAGAGTATGGACTTACATGAGACAGCAATAGAGTCTTAAATAGCTAGTCTGAGTTTCAGTTGGAGACAAGGGTGCTCGATAGCCAGTGTGAGATGAGGTTACGTAAACTTAACGGCAGCTCCACCTTTAACTGGCATCTTATAACTATTCAGTCAACTTATAGACCTATTCCAGCTCCTGCTAAAATGAAGAGAAGCTTGCTATTAATATCAAATTGATATTTATTGGGACTTTGACTGACATTTTCCAAGTGATTTCATTATAATAATGATATTGAGTGTGCCTAGTAGGGTTGAAAAATTTTAAACCTTCGTCACGTAAAGTATTGAAAAATTCCAAACCTCCAAATATCAGAGGAAAAAAAAAGGCACTGAGGAAAAGACATGTTAGAAGCTGAAAGATGAGTCAAAACCTCATCTTGTGTAAACATGTAGCAGAAAAAAGAGGGAATGTTTTCTATGAGAACTATGGACCTGGATGCACAGGGTGTCAAAAGGGGGCAAGGTGTTTTGTAAGTGGTGCTGAGGCCAGAACTACACTTTTATGCCACTGTTATGGCACAGTCACTTTTCTTCAACATTAAAATGTGTTGCTCTTTAGCTGAGAAGTGAGACACTTTATCCAATTATTCTGTATGCACAAAACGTGCTTTACATAACCAGAATTTCAGAGAGCAAAGGTAAGTGGTAAGTAAGGTGTCTTTCTGTGTGGTTCCCTTCATAAACAGAGAAAACATGTAGTGGGCTGGTTTTGCAAATACAACAGTAAAAGAAACCTGTACCTTCTTCATGTTGGTTGCCCTGAGAAGTGAGACACTTTATCCAATTATTCTGTATGCACAAAACGTGCTTTACATAACCAGAATTTCAGAGAGCAAAGGTAAGTGGTAAGTAAGGTGTCTTTCTGTGTGGTTCCCTTCATAAACAGGGAAAACATGTAGTGGGCTGGTTTTGCAAATACAACAGTAAAAGAAACCTGTACCTTCTTCATGTTGGTTGCCTAGAAATGTGCTGTTAGTGGCAGGGCTGCGAACTGTGGCAATCTGAGAGCTCCTGCTTCCCTGAAAGGGTCAATTCTTGCAGAAAATGTGTCTCCTTAAGGCGAGCAGTTTGTATGAGCATATCTGGCTCCTTGGGAGGAAGAGCTTCTCTGTATCTGTTGGGACAGAATTCCTGGGAAAAAAAATGCATGTATTTTGAAGTCTTACTTCAGTCACACTTGTTTAGCTTGAATATTTCTAGTCAGATAACTGAACAAAATAATTAAAAATGCTTGAAGATTTTGAATTTTCTAGAAAGATATTATGGCTTAATTCTAAATGCTCTGTAGTATGTTTTTACTTCTGCTACTGACATTGAAATTAGAGTAAAATTGCATTCACATAAATGGAGCAGCTTTGAGACCAGTTCCCACATAAAAATGCGTTTTTCTCAGGAAAAAAATAAATAAAAATCCCTTGAGGCCTGGTCTTTTTGCAAGCAATTCTGACCCAATTCATATATACTACTTGTAAAATTTATATCCTTTTCTCTCTCAGAGGCACTGCATGAAAAATTATGGGAAAAAATACATTGTAGATTGCATCAGCTTTTTCTTCTTTATTCCCACAGGCACAACAACTAACAGATCTGGAGCAAAAACTAGCAGTTGCAAAAGATGAATTGGAAAAGGCAGCCCTTGACAAAGTAAGAAGTGTATCGTAATGTAAGCATGTTTATCAGCTGTGATTATTTCAGTGTAATTTGACAAAAACAAATGAAGTCTTCCAGTGATTTAGATGCATACTTAATTGCATGTACCTGGGAGTAATGCTACTCAAATCAGTGGAACTGATTATGACGCATGAAGTTAAGTGCAGCTGCAGTTTTTTAAGAGGAGGACAATCAAGTGGGAAACATCTCAAAACCTCGCAAAAGGCCAAATGTGACAATTCTTGATGTGCAACAGTGCTCTAAGAATGTTCCTGCAACCCGTATCTGAGGTTTAGTCATAATTTCAAGGAGGATGGGGTGTAGAAATGAGTCCATCTCTTTTTAGGGTGGGACTGATCTATCAGCTCTGCAACAGGGGACCTTTCTTCTAAGTTTAAAGTAGCTGGGATGAAAATATCATGAAATAGGGAAGCAGTTTATCAGAAAGGAAAGAAAACTTCAGTGCGCTACCAAGGACTACCTTTTTCGTTTGGTTTTCTAGTATTTTCAGTTTCCCTTGGGCAGTTTAAGAAAAAAAAAAAGTGCCCCTTGCAAACGTCAAAGCATTTTTCTTTACTCTCCAATATTGCAATCAGTGAAATCGCCCTCTTGAGTGAGGATTTGCATCCGGCATTGCAAAATTCCATTATGTAAGCAATGCCCACAGTAGCGTTATTCAAACCTGTGTGTGCATCAGGTGATATCATGTGTTCCTTGTGAGCATGCTGAAATAAACTGCTCCACATACTGATTTAAAATTTAGGCATGTTCCTTCCTTTCTTTGCTCATGTAACACTCAAAGATGTGCTAATATACTGTGTGTGGCAATGACAAGAGAGCGATGCTTGCCATGACTATCTTCTAAACACAACTACTCGTTCTAATGAAGTTATGAAGGAGAAAGCAAAGAACATTTGACATCGGGAACTTTTAATGAGAATGCTATTAAGGCTTTCTGTCTGCAAATTGAAAGGGGATTTGCAGCACACCCAACTGACTCTTCTGACCCTCTGTTTCTTTCCTATTAAATATTATAGAATTTTAATTTAGGGCTCAGTTATGATTCCATAGGTTTAAGAGAAGGCCAGTGTCGTCGTCTTGCAAATCATCATTGAGAGAGTCTTTGGATCGCATCATTGCTTACATGCGAAAGCGCAGTGGAAATGGCAAGCAGGAGTAAAGAAAGCAGTACAGATGAAGGAAAAAAGCAAAGTACATATGAGTGAGAACTGTGAGATAGTTTTATGAGGCTAGAAGTACCTGTGCGTGACTAGTTCTAACTGCAAAGTAATAAGACCATTTAAGCTGTAAGTTTGGGCTCCCTGGTTAGGAGCCTTTCCATATGAACTAGGAACTGGAAAGAGTCAGCCAATGGTCCATCCATGTCAATGATGACTTGGCCTTAACTGTTTAAATAATTTTAGTATCCGTAGTTTCTGCTAAAGGAATGGAAGCAATATGTAAAGCAATGCAAATTCATAGAACATGAGCTGTGTTTGAAATGGCTGAGTGATCAAACCTTAAAATGTGCCTATAAATAGGTATTTGTGGGATTTTGGGGGGAGGATGACAGACTTTTTTATTAAATAGTAGCTTGTGCAGACAGTGGATTTAGTGCCTTTCTTAAGTCTATTTACACTACAGCACTTTCCTCGTTCCCATGATGGACCCATGGAAGAATGATGAGTTTTTCATTACCACAGTCCAGATTATTCTATATTGAACTCAGCCATGTGACGGGAGTATAAATAGATCTGGGAAATCTGAAGACACGTGTCATATGTTGGCAGTATTTTGATCAGCACGCAGCTGTTTTGACCGCAATCGCATCTATGCAACAAGGTTATCGAGAACTTAGTGAAAGGATATCCCTGGTTTCTGTAGCGTTCCCTGAAGCTGTACTCTTCTGCTGCCCATTTTTACATCTCCTATCAGCAAAGTCAGAGTTGAATTTCCCTACCCACAGGATGAAAACAAAATGACCTACTCTTCTTTTACCTTTGGAGGGGCAAAATGGCTGGCTAAAACCAAGGCACAACAAGCACTGGATGGCAGGGATGAGAGGATGAGAAATTATCCAGAAGGATTTCTGGATGGGAGAAATGTGGTTTCAGATCAGTGTGATTTGCAGGAGCAGTCGGGTCATATAGTGCTAGATCGCTGACTCTGTATCTTCAAGAGAAATTAGACAGTCTGTTACCTCTGCCAAGTTGGTATCTGAGCTTATTTTGACTATGTCACATGGTGATTTATGTTCTCTATGCAGTCACTTCTTGAAGAGGTAGGGGAAAAGACACATTGCATGAAAAGAAGTATGCTAAGATCTTCTTTGTCAGTTAGAAAGTAAGAGGATCCTGGAGTCAGATGGATAAAGTGATCCTTTCCCTTTTGCACTGCTGTTAGGTCAGAGATGTAACAGACTAACTCGAGGTTCATACATCTTAATAAGTCACTCCTACAAAGTGCTGTCCACTTTGATGATAATCTGCCATTCCTCCTCACTGCCAACATCTGAAGGGAAAAGGTTCAGTTTTGTCTGTTTGCAAGTACCAACTGGTTCTCTTTGTTTATTTTTAAAGAAACACTCGGATTTTCCCAGTTAGGAGGTACATTCACTGATTCCAGTTCAGGGGAAATTTATCGAATGTATCATATGGAATATTTATCAGGTTTTAAAAAATACTTGTTTGGCAAATAAACAAAACCAAGGTGCTGTATGTTGAGTGCCTATGCTTAAAATTTGTACAACTGTGAAATATTTTTATGTTATATATGTAATATTTCAGATGCATAGTATGTAGTGTATAATGCTACATATACATATATTTTCTATGAACTTTTGTCATGGTATACCTTGATTTATATATTTTGAAATAAGTCTTTCAAGGTTGAAGTGTGCTGATGTGGCCTGTATTTATAGGTGCAGTCTTAATATAAAGAAATATAAAGATGGACCTTAATACATCTGGCCAATCTTATTCTTAACAAGTGAAAAGACCTATGGTTTATTTACTATACACTACAACAGCATAATATACCCCTGAGGGAAGCCATCTTTGTGTTAAAGTTTATCTGTACAACCTGTGGAAGGATACCAATTATTCTGAATGTAAAGAACAAAATTCCATACAAAATCTGCATCTTTGTGATACTTGTGAACGTTACTTCTCTGTAGCTATTGTATATAAAATCCAGACACTGTATGATATTTGGTACATTTTTGTTTTATTTCAGATAAAATAATATTTAATATTTATTTCCAATAATCAGTGGGATAAACCTGCATGGAGGAAAGGGAAGAGTGCAATGACTTTCTAGGCAGTTTGGTGTGTAATGCACAGTAACCTAATCACCCAACAAAACCCTCCTTTAAACAACCTTAATTTCTTCCATTAGTAAGAAAAAGCAGCAGCTGCTCATAAATGCTTGGCTTAATGCAGAGGGCAAAAGCAAGCAATCCTGTTCATAACCGCATCTCAGAGAAGTGATGGTTTCTCATTTTCCCTAGGAGTCACAGCTGAAGGCTCTGAAGGAGACCGTGCAGCTTTGCCTCTCCTCCGTTCTGCACAATCAGCCTCCCGCCACGAACCTAATCCCTTCAAAACCAGCTGAGAAGCTGACATCCCCAGTTACAAAGGGCTCAAAAGTTGCATTTCAAGTGACAAGCACCAAGGTATGGTTTCTCTCTCTCTCTTTTTTTTTTGTTTTTAAACCTCTTTGAAAGTTTATGCTGTAAGAGCATCAAACTGGAACTAAGGAGGATTTTAAATTCATTGAAAGATTAGGATGAATTTTGAGGATAATTCTAAGCCCGTTTCTGATGTCAATAAACTTTTTTTTGAAGTTGAGAAGCAGCTACTTTTTTTGCTGAGGAACAAAATTCTGTCTATCATTTGCTAAATGGACCGTGTCTGCAAAACAAATCTATAAGGAAGATGGATTTGCATTTAAAGTAAGTGAGAATGTTGTTTCATAGGATTATTTACCTGTCAGGCACTGATAGTGAGTTTGTGGTAATACAGCACTAAAGAGTAAGACAGGTTTTGTTTATCGTGTTTTTTTTTAATGAAAAAGACAGATATAAAACCATGAAGTAGTTTGTGCCACCAGATCGAATTTGCTAAAAGTGATCCGTGGAATTGATAATAGGTCATAGGCAATATGCCAATTGTGCAATATGGGAAGAACGGTTTAGGAGACAGTATGAGGAAAAAAATGATGAAAAGTGTTTTGATTCAGTAGATTGAAGTATTTTAATGCAGTCAAGTTTTACAGTGATTAACAACTGTCCTTATAATTCCAGGCTTCTCATGTATTCGACTAATTCAGTAGGTCTAAAATAAATCTGTGATTTCAGTTAAAAAGGAAGCTTTACAGAAGAATGACTGAAGGACACTTTAATATCCTACTTAAATACCAAAATTCTTTCCTGAAATATAAATAGGAATTGCTAACTCATAGCCAATTTGTGGGTTTTACGTGGCAGCTGTTGTTATTGTCTATTAGTACAGATACTGAAGTAAAAAATTAGTCATCTTTCCGTATGTAATTAAAATTGAAACATAATTTCAGAACATAATTTTAGAACTGGATCTCACGTTGCTACTCTTACAATTATAATGGTCTGTTCCTTAATAGTAGGAGGAAACCTTCATTCCCAATTATTCGTACCTCTGGAAATACAGCACCCTGTTAATTAATAGCAGCACACGGGGCTATTAGCACTCATTTAGATTAAGATCAGTGGTTCTGTGTTCTGCAAGAGACTGGACACTTCTGTAGGTCCTGCAGACTTGAGCTTCTCTCTGAGTTCTCAGGAGCATGTTTTTCCAAAGTTAACATGGCTGTCGAACTGTTTGTCTTGTTCTTGCTGTTCTTTTCTTCGGATTGGAAGTGTTTGTGCCTCTTTCGTGAAGGTGTAGGTGTGCGGAGGGATAAGACGCAGTCCCTGCTAAGCCTGCGTTTAAGATTGGTGTGAGGTCAGAGCCTCAGAAGCATTTGAGATCTCCTTGGTTTGACAGGTATTAGAGTAGAGCAGCGAAGGAAATGGGAATTCAGTATAGAGATTAGAATTAGATCTTTTTGATGTACGACTGAAACACAGAGTACTCTTCCTTCTTTTTTTCCGGCATCATATAGAGTTTGTGTTTAATGTGCCTATTTGTGAAATGTATTGGTATTTCTGTGCTCCAGCCTTTTGAGAGCCAGCATTTAGTCCTCTGTGTCCAAAAGTGCTTGAATAAGTTATATGCCTTTTTATAATTAGACATTGCGCACATTTCTCTGCACTTGGCATATGCCATGAAAATGTCTGAGAAAATAATGGTCTGCAAACCTCGTCTTCCACACATTGACATCTCATTATTATAAATCTGTGCATTATCAGTGATTGTAAAACCACTGAAATCTGCTGCTGTGAAATAGGTTGTCAAAGAGTCATAGTCAGTCCATAATTATACTCTCTGCTCTTGAGCTGTGTTATAGAAGACTTTTTTATAACATCCATTCTTATGTATCTCTTCCTTGTTTTTTTTTACTTCCTCTTATAAGCCAGCTAACTCTAACCACAGATGTATACCTTTCTTATTTTTAAATTAGATTTGCATAAACATTTTGATGTAGCAGGCTAGTATTTTTAGGTGGATATAAGTGTGTGTGATTACTTAAATATGCTTTCATATGTAAAGATGGGAACTTCAGATGAGCAGTACTTATGCATCTTGTCATGTCTGATAAGCAGCAGTTTCACCTTCAGGAAAGAAATTATGATTTGTCTGGTAAAATCTTATTTCAAAGATGTTTTCATCCAGCCTAAAAATTGCTTTCGAAAAATGTCAAACTTATTTTAAATCCACTGAAGGTTACATCATATGGTGTGTGATACCTGTGTCACTTGGGGACAATCATCCCTCAGATTGAGGTGCTTGCTGCTTAAAAAAAGAAAAAAAAGGTGCAAGTGTCTAAGTTGTATATTTGTATTCATAATTGGTAACCATAATACCTGAGTGCTTGTTAGAGATGCTGTTTAACACAAGAACACTGTGTGGAAAGAGTAATTAGAAAAGCAAATTACCAAATTTCTTGGGAAGGTTAGTTTTAAAAAATTTATTTCCTAGTGAGGTGCTTTGATCTTTTTAGATAATGTGATATAAAGAAGCGTAAATCAGGTTTAAAAAAATCAGTGCAAGTCAGTACATAGAAGTGCCTTAATCAGTGAAATAAAAGTTGCTCTGGATAGCTTAGTAATTTGGAAGAGTGGGTAGTAATGGGAAATTTTTACATTTAAAGCTTAGGAAAAGTTCCCTGAAAGTGGACAAAAGCACTATCAGTCTGAGGTGAGTTTTGTGACATGTTTTAAATGGCTTAATATTTGCAATGTGCAAGAAAGTAAAATACAGAATTTACCAATGCAGTCAGCACTAATATTTCAGACCACAACCATTTTACCTGTCATATACCTGTCATAACACCGATTCTGGTGCTGGAGGCGTTGGCTGTTACAAATGGATTTAGGGCTCTGTGCACACAAGTCCAATGGCGCTAACAACTAAAACCAAGCATAACCAGGAGGCTGGTCATTAATCCTGAACTATGAGGTCTGTTACGTTCTGGATTGTTGACAATTATTTTTATTATATGGTTTCTCTTGCGCTCTAACATCGCAGCAATAACCATTCTGTGTTCTCCAGTGGAAAATGCTTCCAAACTAGTTGAGAGCTGTCAGACCTGGCTTTTGTTGCAGCAATTTCCTTACCTTGTTCCCATTACAGAGGTGATGAGGAAAGAGAAAAATGAAGAGGAAGGAGGAGGACTGAAACTCTACTTCCCTTTTTAATCTCCAGAGAAGTGCCTAAGGTCCTGGCTACTTAAGGAGTATTGTTAAAAGGATGGAAGCTGTAATGTTTACTCGGCTGGGAAACGTGGGTTGGTGTAATCCATGAATCAGAGCACTGGTTTGGATTTCCTATTGAGGCATTTTCTGCACTTTCTGTATCTCGACGTGACAAACAACTCTGTGAATTTTTAAGGAGTTAGTAGATGGAATGCATTCTTAATCCATTTATTTAGATTCAACTTTAAGGAAAAGGTTAACACTATACCATATATAAAAAAAGAATCAATGAAAATGGTAGTAATAGCTCTCATTCAAATATTTTTGGCTCTGCACTGTGAAGATACCTGGCTCCAAATACAACAAAATGAACTTTAGTGACACTGTGGAAAATTAATGCCAAACCAAAATCAGAAGTGAAACAGAAAAGCCTGTTTCCAGGGCTGGAAATGCTGGGGAATACAGTGACACAGATACCAGAATTATAGTGATGAGTTTGCTCTACGGTGTTTTTGCCTAATGCAAAAATAGTTTCATGTATTCCCAAAATGAATTTCTTCATTATAAATGCCCTAGATTTTTTGTGTATTTTTGGGAACTGCTCTATTTTAAGAGTGGAAAATACATATTGATTTCAAACTGTGAAGAATAACAGCCTCTTCTGTCGTGTACGTTACGTAGGTGGAAAGATTGTCTATGAATGGCGCTTCAGTGTCCTGGTCTTGATGGAGGAGATGCAGACTGCGTAAGAATGAGAACTGTCCTGTAGAAATGTATATTACAGACTGAAAGGGGAACTACTACTCCACTTTAAAAAGATTTAAAGATCTCACAAGAAAATGCATCGCTTTAGTGGTTAAAAGTGCTGCCTCCGCCTCACACCTGTTGTGATTGACATGGACTCCAGCATACACTGTCAGCATAAAAATTCAGAGAAGTCAAGTACTGTGGGCCATCCTCCTTTTATCTGGAAATAAGTATGTAATTCATTCCCCATCAAAGTAAGCTTGGGAACTTTATAGCTTTATTAAGCCTAAGAAAGTGTTCTTGTTGGAGCAGAAATGAGGAGAGCTTGTGAAGCGGTTCGGAAAAGGTACAGGTCTGGAAAGCTGGTCAAGAACAAGGTAGACTCTGAAAAGCATTTTGAAATGCCTGTATAGGAAATCCAAGTTTTCTGTGTGGATACAGAAATAATGTGTTAGGTTAAATTTAAGCTTACAGGTATTCTGAGTGCATAGATATCAAGTATCTACTACAGACAGAGCAAGGCTGCTGAAAAAAATAAGATTATTGTAGTGTCGAGAGTTGGAGTTTCTTCACTTATTTAATCAGGGGATTTGAAGTTTGGGGTTCTTTTTAAATATTTATAAAGGGTCTATGATTTAGGAAGCCAGAATATTTCTTAGATTCTAGACCTTATCCATTTAATTCTACAAAAGTAGAAAAGAATTATATAAATACTTGTAAAAAACAAGACAACGATGAATTTTTTGCACTTAGTTATATATTACTGATAATACTGTAGGATATTATATTTCTATAGTTGACTAGAAAATTTAAACAATCAATACATGTGTACATTTCTTCAAAATGTACAAATACATTTTGAAGGAGTGAAGAAATGTCTGGAATGTGTGCATTTGACCAAATCCATATTTACGAGATTGAACAAAGGGTGTGGGGTTTTTTAATTGTCTTTTAAGACTGTTTTGGTAGATCCTAAAAAACTAATAGAATAGCTTTGTATTAATGAAAATTAGCAGCTCAATATATCAATGCATCATCTCATCTCTTTCCTTTTGAAGGTCAAGAAAGACACAAATCAGAACAAATTACTTAAG